GGCAAGCTTTGTCTATTTAATTAGGTAATAAAAACTCGTAAATACCCATTTTATTTCCACTTGGATTCTAAGATAATGTGATCACAAAATCTATAAAAAGGGTGACCTAAAAAAATATTGGGCTTTTTTGTCTATATAAACTCGTTATTTTGAAATTTTGGGACCAAAAAGTTTTTATGGCCATATTTTTTCTCGACTTTGTCCTCAAATTATCTTACGATTCAAGTGGAAAATATGAGTTTTAAGTACCTAATTAAACAGACAAAGTTTGCCGACCTCCAGGCTGAAAACGCTAGAATTCCGAGAATTCTTGTAAATAAACTATTTGTAGATTATGATGAGATGAAACTATTTACGAAGTTTCAGGCGGATGTTAATGACTTGATAAAAAGGAATCTGTACCACGGGCTTAAATAGTTTCATAACCACTTTACATGAAAAATCATTGTTTTTCACCCTGATGTCTGCTATAGAAATTGGTTCATATTTATAAGTTATTGGTGTTGTCCAAAATCTGTCTTGGTCTTGCACTTTGCTAGGCATGTATTGTGCTGGTACCTATGTATATGTTATTCGGGCTTAGTTAGGTTTCTCCTATCTAAAAAATTAAAGTAACATCTCTATAGTAATAAGCTAATACGCAACTGCAAGACTGCTGCGAGACTCTTGTGCAAGATCAAGATCATGGCCAAGACTGAGTTTGCAAGATCAAGATTCGTCTCGGTCTCGCATTTGGGCAACACTATAAGTGACAAAATAAATGTTTCTAATTCTAGTATTTACGTTTCATAAAAATAAATTAAGCAATCGGCAGATTTCTCTATTTGAAACGTGAATTTTAGAACTAAAAACACTTATAAATATGGATCAATTCCTGTAAAAGATGTACTAGTAAAAACAGTTTCATAAGCATTTTACGTGAAAAATGTTAGAAAAATCATTATTTTTACCTTTTTTTTAGAAATAAAAAGTGTACTTAGGCAATAATGTTTGTCATAATACATCCCAAAACTTGGAAAAACAAGAAATAAAATCTTTTGCAACATTTCATTGTTGAGATTTTTGCTTAAAACTACTACTACTTAACGAAATCACAATTTTTTTTGCATTACTCGAGATGAATCTTTAGTTTTTCTTAAATAAACCTCAATTTAATTAATATGAACTAAAAGCTTATTAAACGAGGAAGTTTTTCTAAAAGTGTGATATTTTTAATATAGTTGTAGGGTGATAAAAAAAGTCCCGCATAAGTTATGATTATTTTTAAAAAGCGAACTTAGTTTAGCCGTTCAAAAGTCATCATTGAATGGTTCAACAAGAATGTATTTTACCTTCATTTGAAGTAAATTTTGTCTAGTTCACAGTTAAATAATTTTTAACTACTTAAATTGGATAGTTTTTTAGTAATAACTTTCTATCCAACAAAAAACGCGACACTTAAAAAACACAAATCTTTAATTTTCTACTTTTCTGCTAGAAATTAGGCCATTTTTTTTTATAAACTTTTTTACAGCTCGTGAGGTCTCCAATCAAGCCTATAATATTTCTCTCTGCTTATTGTATAGTAACAATAAGGGCACAATGTCCTTCATTCATCATGCTTCAAATCCTTCAAGTCCGTCAAAATTAATCTAAGTACTTCACCTAATAATTTAATATTATGGAATGTTACTTAATGACATTTTGCAATAAACCGATGTATACTTGTTTTTTAGGGTTCCCTATTTTTTTTTTCTAATATTTCATATACAGTATCTATATAAATAAAATAAAGACTTTATCTGTACATTGAATAGAATCTACCCCTTTTATGATATCTTTCCATTTCATACATTGAAGACACCAAATCCACTTTTTTTTTTAATTTTGTCTGTCTGCATGTCCCGCATTGCAACGAAATTTTGTCAGGGGTAAGCTCAGCAATGGCTTATTGTATATTTTTGAAATTTTAACATTATATTATGGTTTGTTTGACTTAAAAATAGGCTTTAAATTAAAACAAAATATTGAGTATAACCAAAGTTATGAATTCTTGAGTAATTTGTCTAGAGATCTCAATTAATGTTGATAATAAATGTTAATAATAAACATATGTTTACACGTTAAAGAACATCTATATAAATAAAATAAAGGTTTTGTCTGTACATTGAATAGAATCAACCCGTTTCATATCTTTCCGTTTTATGCATTATAGACACCAAATGTTTATGCTAAAAAAATGTTTTTTTCTGTCTGAATGTCCGCATTGTCAAACAAAATTTTGTCAGGGGTAAGCTCGGCAATGGCTATTGGTAGAAATTTTGGTAGAAACTTTTGAAATTTTTACATTACATTTAGGTTTGCTTGACTTAAAATATATGCTTTAAATGAAAACAAAATACTGAGTAGAACCAAAGTTATGAATTCTTGAGTAATTTGTTTAGAGATTCCGGTCAGGCAGTTATTTCGATTCTCATCCTAACCTATTCTACCGCGAGCTACATTTTAAATTTGAACTACTCAATTGATGGAAAAAAGATCATAACTACGGGAAAAATCCATAAAATCTGTAACGCGTTATCACACAAAATGGGTAAAACACACTCATTTTTCAAATTTGTCCGATCTTCCCTTTGAAAGAGTCATTCAATTCAACGTCCCGAGCCTAACAAATGTTGTCGTATACACTTTTAGGATTAACCAAACGGATTAGCCGGAAATCAGGGAAAAAAACTCTAACAACTTCGCCCCGCTCGCCACAATATTCAGATCAAGTTCTAATTTTACACAGACGTAGGTGACTCAATGTCCAATGTTATTTTGCCAGCGATAAATTCAGCAGAGTTTAAAGAATTGGAGAGACTGCAACTCTTTTTGATTTATTAATCGACTCCACAATCTCCTCGCTTCATCATATATGAAAATTAAACACTTAACAGATTTTAATGGATCGGTGGTGGTCGGTTTAGTTGCGTGGTACCTAAACATGACTATTGCGAAACCTTGACTTCCATAAGCCACGCCATAAAAAAATTCAAAACAACCCCTCCCTTCTATTCCGATCCAATTTTATGAAATTGAATTTGGACCCTTCTCCCTCCCCCATAATACAAAATCCATTAAAAAAAAAAGATTCCAAAATTTTAACTATGCACCCGTCAACGACGTGTACACCAACTAGTTTTATTATAAAATATAGGAGTTGTATAATGTTAGGTGCTTCATATTATTTAAAGTAACATTTCCATAAAGTTGAGGTTTTTCTAGGAGATTTTCTGATCTGCTGATAAAAAGATGTAAATCTGGGGATTTCATTGTACGATTTCTATATTTTTACTGTCACTTAATATTGTGATAAGAATGCGGTCATTTAGTAAAAAAAAAATCTATTACGTTCACCATTGTTTCTTTTCTGAAGAACATTTCATTACTAGGTTTATTTATTTAAATTATCATCAGAGTATTTAGAACGGCAAGTGGGCTCAAGTGTTCGCACGACTAAATAAAAACGGAAAAAAATTATAAAAACTTTTTCTTTTTTTTTTTTGCTGATGGGAACATTTTATCCAAAGGAAGAGCGTCGGATCTAGAGGCTGGCGCACTGAGCCTTGTAGGGAATAACTGAATAGCTAATTGTGAAAATTCATTGTCGCTTAGAATACTTAAATAAATTCCATGAAAAAATAAAGGTATAGATCAGAAAGAACTTCATTGAAGTACCTCTCAGGCACTTGGAAAAGAATAAACCACCCTTTGCAAAATAAGGAAGGAATAAAAAAATAAATAAAAGAGCCAAGATTTAAAAGTGGAAGGGTCCCGTTTGTAATTAAATTTACAATTTGGAGGACAGCACGTTTCCGGCTCATTAGTTGGGACTAACAAGGACCTTTGACTTGACCTACCTTCCTTTCTCCTGTAATTGGGGGGAGAGGAGGGAAGCTGGAGGAAGCCTTAAACTGGAAATTTGCAATACAAAGGAGATTGGCGAGGAATAATTTTGTTATATCCTTTTGTTGGTTCAGTTATTGGAAGTATAGGGTCTAAGGCGACGTCAACAAAGCCGTTCTGCCAATCATCTCATACAGCATTTGTTACATTTCATACAAAGGCTAATTTGTTTAAAAATAAACATAACGGCTGACTTCTACTTCTTATTGGAGAAAAGGACTTGTATATTTTATCGAGTTAAAGAAAAAAAAAAGGAAACTGTACAACGGAGCAAACTAGTAATACGTAGCAGTTTCCATCAAACTGAAACAAGGAGAGCATTACTAAGATTTCTCCTTGAGTGGGTTGGTTGTACTAGATTCTAGTCGGTAGCAGAAAGTTCCAATGACCATTCCTTGTCAATTTACTAAGTGGGGGCGGCAACAGAAGTTTGGTGTATGTTTCAAAAGCGGACAAAAGTCTTGTTTGCTTGTTAGGGTGTATCTAATAAAAAATGTTCACAAAAAAGTAAAATACTTCGATTTTAAAATGTATTTATTTATTATCATTACGATTGTCTCACAAATAAGATCAGTAATATTGATATCTGATTAATAGTTAATGATAACAACTTTTGAAGGAATCACCCATCAGTATTACATCTATAGCTATTTCAAACTGCTTTCCGTGATCATTTTTTATTTTATTTTTTTTGACATAGGTTCTTCTGGACCGTTTGTGGTGAAAGTTTACGAACTAGTAGGCTTGGATGAGTAAGGGGTTCTAAACTAAAGAAGTATCTAAGTATTAGGTATTTAGTCAAACCATGTATTGTGCTGGTACCTATGTATATGTTAACTTATTAAAACCATTAAGAGGCCAGAGCTATTGATCGTCTTAAGGTAGAATATTTGAGTTTTTGAGTGTAATGTGAGGACTGTTCGAATCTGGTCCAGGGTACATTCATTAGACAGCATACCCTCGAAATAAATCTTGACTTTCTCACATTTTATAAAATAAGTAGATGAGAAGTTATTTTTATGACCTGTAAGACTCTAATCGGAATTTTTAAAAAAACTGTTATATAACCCATAATGTGATAGGTTATAATGATAAGCAAGATTTATAATTTGAATATCCGGTAAATGGCCTTTAAACATTATACTGTGAACAGTATGATAATGAACAGAAATTGATAGAAAACATCTGTTGGGAATTTTTTTTAAAAATTTGAACCGATAGCACTTCAGAACTAAATTTTAGAGTACCATGTGTAAATCTAAATTATATATATGCTATAAAACTAAATAAAAAACTTCCATCATTCGACTTTTCGTTTAAATTATGGGACATATCAGGCTCTTCTATCCTCCAAAGCTTCAAGATTTCGGTAAGTTATGCCAGTCATCAGATTCTGAAGACACTTCAGACCTCAACATGAACACACACCTGTTCCGTACAGTTTCCAGAATCTCGAAGACACACGATTGCGAAGCATGCCATATGTACCCCCTGGAGGATTTCAAACACCGTGACGAACGCAGATCCAAAAACATGTCTGACAAACTCGGCTTTAAACAGGTTAAGCAAGATGATAAGATGCAAGAGTTGGTTTTGCTCTTGGTGAAGTTGAGCTATCTCAAGACGAAACTTTCGAGAATATACCGTCCTGAAAATTTCAAGCACGCGATGCTCTATTCTATGATGAACAATGTTCGGGAAGATTTGCATAGGATGGTGAGGAAGAATGAAATGAGGGACTCTTTGCTCCGAGAAGGTGCCTCAAAGCTGGAGACCATCGACCGACTCCTGAGGACTGAAGTGGTCCGGGCCTTCAAAGCCAGGGTTCGGATTGAGCAGCCCAAGGGACACCGACATACCGACAGTTCACAATCAGCAAGAAATTAAAAGTCTGACGACTTACAATAAAATGTGTTGTCTTCTAGATATTTCTTTTACATATGAATTTAAATGAACCGTCAAAACTTTTATCGTATGTGATAACTTAACCTCATACATATATTTACTCAACGATAAGGCTACATCTCATTTTTTTTATAGCGGCATTGGATAAATATATACAGCTAGCTAGAATTTCATTTTCACATAAATCTATTTTCTACTAATATATACTATTATATTTTTTGAAAAATATAACTATTAGATCGTCATTTTTAATCAATCGCAACATATAAAGGATCTTTCGCAATAATATCGCCAGTTATTTTTTGTCACTAATTTAGAACTGTGACTGATTTTCATAAATCTGTAACAGTTCTAAATAACATATTAAAATTAAATAACATATGATTTTATAAATTATTACGATTGTACTAATGAGGTTATAACCTGAATCTTAAATGTATTGTTTTAATGAGAATGTGATATTTAAAAACAAAAATGGACTTCTTAAAATTAAGAAGAAATATGCTTCACTCATATACTTGAGAGTTTGTTTGGAGAAGATTTGTAGATTTAGTTCTATTTGATAATATATATCAGACAATGAAAAACTTTTGACAACATGAAAATTAATATTGTTAAATATTTAGAATATTTGTTGATCTCCAAGTTGTGTTTAACTATTGTTTTTTTCTAACCTGTTCTTACAAATGTTTTACAACCTGTAATTGTTTAATATTAATTTTCAACATTTATAACATATGATTTGTAAGTAATACCTGTTATTTTACTGAAAGTAACTGGCGATACATAACAAGAAAAATATGGTGATCGTAACATATTTTGAATATAAATTATTTTCTGGCAATTTTGGGCTATAATAAAATTTTTGAAGTGCATTTTAAGCGGATGTAAAGCTTAAAGCTTACAGGTAACAAAGCATAAAGACCGTTGAAATTACAAAAAGTCCATTTATTATATCGAAGGTAGGTAATGGAAATCTAGTTTCTCCATCTGCTTTTATAAACCACACAACTTCAGTCTCTGAGGCTTTCAGTTGACAGAATGACTAACTGAAGTTTCAACATTTTGGAGTAATGATTAGTTAATTAGTGATTCATAATAAAGTTATTCTAAGATAATCTATAAAGTTATTTACATTTTATAGTAGACATAACCAATCCTTCTTATTCAACTACAACTACCAGAAAAAATTAATTAAATAAGATCTAAACAGCTCTGGAATATCGCTACTGTTAGTGCAAAAGTTCGTTTGTAATGTTTTTTTCTCTTTTTGCTAAAGGTATTATTTTGTAGTATACAACTGCTATAAGTAGTCTACTAAATAGGAAAATAGCAGAGGTAATCAAACATGAAATTATACTAATAAACCATAAAGAAACAATCGATTTTATTATCTTCTGTAAAAAACTCAATTTATATATACGATCGTTCGCACTGACAATATCGATATGTACTGCCGTCCTTTCGATACAAGTGAAAACCATTAAATTTAAGGCTAAGGTTTTTATTAAAAAATATTTCAAACTAGGTTACTTCATCGAGAGGATTTGGCTGCAACGGTGAACAGTTTCAGCGAAATAGAAAAGCATTATGGAAAAGCGGTTGGCAGTATGGAATGGCGGTCGCTGCCGTGGGCAGTACCAGCGAAACGTACCATCAGGCGGAAAAAAATGGTGAATTTTTGAAAAGATACATATTTTTCTCAACGATATTAAAGTATATTTTGAAGTTTTAGTAAACTGTTAATCCGTCTTCCTGCATATGAGACTGAATATTTGTATTCAGAAAAATGCTGGTGCGGTGTAGTCATTACACAATTTTCCCTTATCATCCTCTTCTCACCAGGACTAAGTATTTTCAGACAAATGGTAAGTGAAAGTAAAAATTATAGACGCTGTATTTATTGATATTTCATTGTGGGTATTTTTGTTTGTTTAAGTACTCTTATGTATACAAATTTTACGGGTGATAAATATACAGGACGCAGTCCCTTTTAAAAAAAAAAAATTTAATTTGTTATTTATGCCTAACTTTTCAACCCAAACGTATGGGTCATCTTCAGGGCGTGGTTTGAGCACTGAGGGTGTTCGAGTACTCTGTTCCAGTACTTGGGTGTTCCAGTACTTGAACACCCTCAGTGCTCAAACCACGCCCTGAAGATGACTCACATATTTGGGTTGAAACGTTGGCATAAATAAAAAAAATATTTTTAAAAACACTGCGTCCTGAATATTTATCATCCATGTCAGAACAGTCGACTAACTTCCTTGAAGTATACAAATTTTAATATTTATAACGCTCTAATCTATACAATTAAATATTAAATAACACCAATTATAGCATTTATGAAAACCGCATATGTATATATACATAATATTGTCAGAGTCCGTATTATATTACGCTCATGTTCACGTATGGAAGACTGTTCCAATCTTTCGGGCGAGCTCGATTGAGTTCGGACGCGGTCGTATTTCTTTGGTTCCTCCATTACAACTATTCTCCGTATTCTTTTATATTTTATATTTAACTATTTTTTTATAACAGAGATCAATGAGAAATTTATAATTGTTTCAAATAAAAAATTAAAGGTAATTTAGGGGAAGCTGATATTAAAAATCAGCCCTTTAAGCTCTGATAGAGAACATCGAAGACAATATAGCCTACATCAATTGAAAAAGTGCTTAACTTTACACAGATATAATGAATTTAATCAAAATCGTTAGAGCCGTTTTCGAAAAAAGCGTAAACAAAATTTAAATCGATGATGTAAATTGCTACATCTCAAGCATAAAAAAACCTTAAATATGCAATTTGACTTTTGTACGATTTTTCGTTTTTGAGCTGTACTGTTGGTAAACACAGGCGCATGTTTGAACAATGTTGGAACACACACACGTAAGTGAAAGTAATAAACGCTTATTTCAATATTTCTGAAAACCGACGATTCAAATAATCGAGTTTAATTATAATTTTATAGTTATTTAGTTATAATTTTTATATAAGTGCACATATATCCGAATACTGTAACACTCGTTGAAATGGTTTTATCTCCTCCCCCCTTACTAGCTTATGAAGAACAGAGCCGCCGTTGGTACAAGCTAATCAGATCCGTCCCTACATGAGACAGTTGATGCCCTCAAGGATTTATAAGGCACTCCGCCGATGCCGAGGGGGACCGCTTCATTTTATGGTCATTGCAGGGCTTTATTGTTTCCTATTCACTTAGGCTAAGCTCGTTATAGCTTGAGCATTATTTATGGCATCATTGAATTTATAAACTAAGGCCAAGTGAATTGAATAATTGACCTTATTACTTAAACACATAGCACGCCCCTCATAGACTACTCATTAACTTAAAAGTCAGTTGTACTTAATTTCTTGATAATTTTTTTTTTTTTTAATCTTATTTATTGAAAAATATTACAATCTGTCTCAAGGACATTTATAATAGTGTTCACAGGTCACATTCACACTTTATGTACAGTAAATAAAATAAATTAGATTAATTTTAAAATAAATATTAGTAACAAATGGGGACGGGAGTTTTTGCAAAATATCGAAGTTTACCAATATGTATTTAAGTATTAATTAGTCAAAAGTGCACATATTACAATAGTAGTAGCTGATTCAGGACTTTTTTTTATTTTATTAACCTTAATCACTCTTAGAGAAAATTAAAAATTATCTATATGAAATAATGTTTAAGTGATCCTTAAAAAGACAGGCATAAAAAAAATCGCAATTATAAGAACAATAATTCTTTTACAAATATATTTATGACAAATGCTTACATTTACACTACATATACTAAATAAAACTAAAATAAGCATATATCTCGTAAAGAGATGTACAAAAATTACGTTACGATAGGAAAAATCAAAACTATAAAGTCATGAGTCTCTAGCATAAAAGTGAACAGTTAATTTGCCAAGGTTTCGTTAATTCAAGCAGGGCAGAAACAAACATGATCACATACATGCGAAGAGAAAGAGGGAAAAAAAAGAGGAGCGAAAAAAAACATATGCTGTTGACATCACAATAAGCCATCCAAAAACATACTGAAAGGAATGGAAGATTCCATAAACACAGAAGGGGAAGATTATATTAAACAGCTGATTAGAGGAAATTCAAGGAACAAAATCTAATGCGCGCATCACACAACTTTCACTTGCTCTACTTTGAATAGAAATTATATTCTGGCAAAGGTGGACAGCATTTATAAGTGCATTTATAACGGAGATAAAGCTGAAACCTTACAGCTAACCATTCAGACCATTAAAATAACACAAACCCTATATCGACTGTAAAGCAATAAAACCCTTGTAACTCCTCCTGCTATAATAAATCACTGCAGTCTCTGAGCTATAAATGCCTAAAAAGATTCGAAAGTGCATCTCTATATTTAACCAATAAATGATTAGGGATTGTATTATTATTAGTTCTTAAATTATTTTTTCCCATAGTAAAGTTTACTAAAATGGAGTTTTTCATTGACTACCATGGACAGGTCAAACTCGTCACGATAATTGTAAGTGGATAATGTTGTGATTTCACAGAGGGAAAATTCATCTAATTATTACCTAATTTAATTTTCTAAAATGTTATATAATGTTTTGGAACGACTATATGAAATGTATAGTACGGGGAAGTATTGCGATCGTGAAAATTTTCAAATCTCAATTTTTAACAGAAATACATGTTTTGAGATCCTCTGAGTCAAAAGTCCCTCAAAATGGTCTGGGTGTGTATATGTCTGTGTGTGTGTCTTAATAGTCTAGCTCAAAAATAAAAAGTCGGCCGAAAGTGAAATTGCATATTTAAGGTTTTTATATGCTTGGGATGTTACAGCAACTCTTTAATCAAAATCGGATAACTTGAAGTGGTACTTTATATCATGGACTAAACACATTTATACGATTTTCTAGAATACGGCTCTAACGATTTTGATTAAATTCATTATATCAGTGTAAAATTAAGTAGTTTTAAATAAAATGTAGATTTTATTCTGATTGATGTTCTCTAACAGGGCTTAAATGGCTAATTTTCAATATAAGCTTCCCCTAAAGTACCTTTAATTTTTTTTTATTTGAAACAATTGACCATTTCACATTAATCTGCAATATGAAAGATATTAAATATGAAATATAAAGGTATTTGATCATTAACTAAAGGAGACATTAGAGATTGTAATAGAGAATAATTATAATTTAGGAACCAAAGGAATAGGAGCGCACCCGAGCTCGCCCAAAAGATTATAACACGC